CAATCCTACCCCACTGGCCAGGTACATCACCACATAAATGCCATCGCCAACGTCTTGCATCCTGAGAGTGATGGCCGTCCACTGGTCGATGTCCGTCTTTTGCCAGGGAGCGTGCTCCAGTGTCGCTCTTTCCGTACCTGGGGCCAGACGCCACGATGTCCTCTGCCTCCTTGCCCCGATGTCGGCACTGCTGCAACCGACTTTGTTGCCCAACCACATTTCGAGATCTTCCTCTTCATCTCGTTGAGCTTTTCTTTCATCAAGTGGTGCTCTGCTGCGCCGACGACCGAGGCTTGGGCGAGAGCCTTGGTCTGATCACGCAAGTAGGACATCCCCTTGTCGTTCCAGGACGTAACGTTGGCTTGAAGCTGAGCTCCTTCTCGTCCCCCTTGGCGATTGGCGTCGTGGGCGACGCGCGCCCCCTGCCCGAGCCATCACTCTCGGCCAGCCCCGAAGGTGCAAGGCCGAAGCCCAGAGCATTAAAGTCCCCTGCCGACGGGGGCCTGGCGAACATGGCTGGCCCAGACAGGGAGCAATAGGCCTCCGCCGAAACAGAACATCCCGAAGTAGCCGCAGTCTGTCGCCCTCTGCGATATGCTGCTGTCCTCGAACGCGCTCTCTGCTCCCTAGGGAGTGATTGTAGCGACCAGATGTGCCCTCTGCTCTCCCGTGGAGAGTGAGTCTGGCCGAGGTACTGGAACGTGCTCTCTGCTCCTGGCGGAGTGAGTTTAGCATCCAGATGTGCCCTCTGCTCCCACGAAAGGGAGTGAGTCTGGCCGAGGTACTCGAACGCGCTCTCTGCTCCACATGGAGTGAGTGTACCGGCCAGATGGGCCCTCTGCCCTTGGCCAGAGCAAAGGCCGTTGTGCTTCATGTTCATGTTACCCATGCATCCTTCTACGTTTGGCTGCAAGTCCCTGGAAGAGGGCAACCATTGCATCCTGCCGCTGCTGTTCGTTATCCTCTGCGGTCCATTTCTCCATGAGCTCTCGTACTCTTTTGGCCGATTCAGCTCCTCCAACTTCCTCAGCATCCGGGGGCTCAGACATGTGAGCACATCCTGCTCCTGCGGTGTTGCCTCCTGCGTCCGCGTCTGGTCCCTGGCCCGCCCCATCAGCCCCAGCCACGTTGCCACCACCAGTAGCATCGGACTTGGGCTTGAGGCTCGTGAGCTTCTGGAGCGCCTCCTTCGCCTGCTTGGCCTCTTCGGTGGGCTCGCCTTCTGACGGGGTGAGGACTTTGCCAAGCAGCGTCGCCAAGGTGTCGAGGCCTGCCCAGAGCTCGGCGGGGATGGCCTGAGCCACTGCTGGCCCTGTGCCCAACCTCTGGGTTGCTTCACGTTTGGCGTTATCGAGCTCTTTCCTTGCTTGATCCAAAAGGTCTTCAGACTCCAGGACTGCCGCTGCTGCCTCTGCTGCTGCTGCCCTGGCTGTCTCGGCTCGCTGCTCCGCCTGAAGAACTTTGAACTGGGCTGAACGAAATTGAGGGGGAACATCCTTGTTCTGGGACGGGTCCTGCATTCCCGCTGCTCGCAACCGACGGCGGTATGCAACTTTGTCTCGCTGGCTCTGGGTGAGTGATGTGCTTCCAATCTGCCATTTCTCCTCTGGCGTCTCCACCCAGAACTCCATCTGCTGCTTGGAAAGAGGGGGAGACTGCCCTCCTCCTCCTGTTCCTCCTCCTTTGTTGCCACCCTGCTTGTCCCAGCCCTTGCCGCCTCCTCCTCCTGGTCCTGATCCTGGTCCACGAACAGGGTCACGCTAGGCCCAAGGTGGGAGGGCCTGCTGGGGTTTGACCTGGCGATGGCGACCTGCGACGAGGGTCCAAGCACCTTGCGGGGGCTGCGGGTCCACGTGCGAAGGGCCTGGTCCATCGGGTCGGTATGAGCCGCAGCTGAAGCACTTGGCTTTGGAGCCGCGGTTCCACACATTGCACCCTCTCCATCCCCAGCCCACCATGCGCGCTGGAGGGGGTACAGAGCAAACTGACTTGGGAATGGTACGATTGCGGGTGAGGTCGCGAACCTCTGGCCACGAAAGTCTCGTGGGGATGCTGCAAAACAAACAAGCCTCAATCTCTCGGGCGAGGTTGGAAGTTCAGGAGCAGGCCCCTTGAGCCAAAATGGCTACGGCTCCTCCTCCTCCTCCTCCTCCTCCTCCTCCTCCTCCTCCCTCGCCTCCACCTCCACAGCTCCTCTACGCGCTGTGAGTACCGCTCCCCTCACGCAGGGGCTTCCTGCTGCGAGCGGCGTCTTGCGCGAGATGGCATGGCGACCTCTACGCGGTGGCTCGCGAGGGCCGCAAGCGCAGCACGCCACGCACCCGAGACGGAGGCGCTCACGCGCGACCTCACGCGGGCGGCTTGCGCGCTTGTGTCGGCGCAGACGACCCCCTGTGCGTCTGCCACCCGCCTGTCTTTCCCGTCGCAGCGTTCCGGATGTTTCAACATGGTGTTCCCGCTGCTGGGTTTGCCTCAGAATCTGCGCGTTGATCCCGCCATTCCGGCCAGTTCTTTCGCCCTGGCGCGGGCAACATTGCTGGATCCGAGTCGTTGCCGCCCCCCCCCCTTTGGCCTCCTCCACCTTCCCTCTGTCCTGGTCCCCCCGCTCCTCCTGCTCCTGCTCCTGCTGCTGGTGCTCCTCCTCCTCCTCCTCCTCCTCCTCCTCCTCCTCCTCCCTCCTCCTCCCTCCTCCTCCTCCTCCTCCTCCTCATCATCATCATCATCATCGTCATCATCATCATCATCATCACCACCATCATCATCCTCATCCTCATCCTCATCATCATCATCATCATCATCATCAGCAGCAGCAGCATCATCATCATCATCATCATCAACATCATCATCATCATCATCATCATCATCCTTCCTCATCCTCCTCTCCCTTCTCCTCATCCTCCTGTTCACCCGCCACCCCCTCTCCCTCATCCAATGTACATGGCTCCCCTTTCTGACTGTGCATAACACGATAGGATCATATGTGGGTTCCAGTTGCGCCGTGAGGAAGAAAATCAGCACAATGAGATGACAATGTGGGGGGGAGGGATAGGATGTAAAATACGTCGCAAGCACACATTTCGTGCCCCCCATCCCTCCGCCCCTTTTCCCATTATACTCATACAAAAAACAACTGTGGTAGCAACAAAGCCGCCTGCCCCCGACATCCCTTCCCCGCTCCTCCTTTCACCTCCCCCCGTTCGATAGGGAAGAACTCCCCTGGCCCCCTTCCTCTTCCACCAGCGCCGCGCCAATTCGTCTTCAAGTTTGCAACAGTTTGGAGGGTGCAGGTCTGCTCCTGTTCAGAATGGTCCTCCCGCCGTAGCGGCGCGCACACCCGTCTTTAAACATGCAATAGCTCCATGGCTGGAGGGCAGGCCGTTTTCGAAATGGACTCTCAGACTTCCTTTGCGCTCATGGCCAGAGGTGAAAGCTTGTACAACACCCTTGTATATACATACATGGGCAACCATTTTTTACCTAACAGCGAAGACTGATAGGTTGCTAGTGGGGTCAAAAGAGAATACTCGACGCCCCAGGGGGGTCCGGGCAGGATCCGGGGAGAAGCCGCGGAAGTCGATTTAAGCAAACAGTTACACACTTCGTGGTCCCAGAACCCTAGTCCTGGGCATGAGTTTGAATGCCCGGAGCCAACTGTAGGCCACTTCGTGTTCTTCGTGTTCCCAGAACACCACTCCCGGCCCACATTTTGAATGCCCAGAGCCAACTGTAGACCACTTCGTGTTCTTCGTGCTCCCATCCCAGAACACCATTCCCGGGCCACATTTTGAATGCCCAGAGCCATCTGTAGGCCACTTCTTGGTCTTCGAGTTCCCAGAACACCATTCCCGGGCACGATTTTGAATGCCCAGAGCCACTTCGTGTTCTTCGAGTTCCCAGAACTCCATTCCCGGGCCACATTTTGAATGCTGAGGCAGGCTGATGCTTGAGGCAGGCTGAGGCTGAGGCCGAGGCTGAAGGCAGACTGAGGCTGAGGCTGAAGCAGGCTGAGGCTGAGGCTGAGGCTGAGGCTGAGGGAGGCTGAGGCTGAGGAGGCTGAGGCTGAGGCTGAGGCAGGCTGAGGGAGGCAGGAGGCTGGCTGAGGCAGGCTGAGGCTGAGGCTGAGGCAGGCTGAGGCTGAGGCAGGCTGAGGCTGAGGCTGAGGCTGAGGCTGAGGCTGAGGCTGAGGAGGCTGAGGCTGATGCTGAAGGCTGAGGCTGAGGCTGAGGCTGAGGCAGGCTGAGGCAGGCTGAGGCTGAGGTCGAGGCTGAAGGCAGACTGATGCTGAGGCTGAAGCAGGCTGAGGCTGAGGCAGAGGCAGGCTGAGGCTGAGGCAGGCTGAGGCTGAGGCTGAGGCAGGCTGAGGCTGAGGCTGTGACTGCGACTGCCGTTGCCACCACGACTGTCATCGCGAATGCGACTACGACTGCGAGAACAGCAGACTTCTACAACTGAATCTTAAGGGGAATGCTTCCAGATATGCTCCTACACATCGCTGTTAGGTTGCTTTGCCGGGATAATTTGAATAGGGATCTCGCTGGACACTGCGTTGAACTGCATAAGTATACCGTTTGCGCTTTTCTTCTTGCTCGCTAGAACGATGTAAAGAAGGAATGTTCAAAGCGGGACTCTCACCCTCTCACCTGACGGGCGAGCCCATAGGGTGTTGGTATTTCGAGGGGGTGCTTCTTAATGGGGGACAGGGGAGGCTTGCAGGGCCTTTCGTTGAGGGGGATGGGGACGGGAGGGTGCATGGGAGCATCGTTGATGCATCGTCCGTTTACTCTGGGCATTCTCCTCATTCCCGGTCACCTTCCGCCCCCCTCTTCCTCCTCAGCGCCGACGACGCCGAAGACGTCGCCGCAGCCGACGACGACGCCGACACCGCCGACGCCGACGCCGACGCCGACGCCGCCGCCGCCGAGGACGACGACGACGACGACGACGAAGCCGAGGGCGACGCCACGACGCCACCGACGACGAGGCCCAACTGGGGCCAGCGCGCTCATGGGCCGCGATCCGCACAGCGTGGAGTCGTCGCGGGACCGCAGCGCCCGCGGCCTTGGTGGGCTGTCGCCACCGCGGGCGCCGCCGCCGCTCCTCGTCGCCGTCGTCGCCGCCGGCGTCGGCGCCGGCGTCGGCGACGCCGCCGCCGGCACCGCCGCTGGCGCTGCTGGCGGCGCCGCCGGCGTAGGCGCCGCCGCCGCCGGCACCGTCGCCAGCGCGGGCGCGCTGTGGCGCTGCTGGCGGCGCCGCCGGCGTCGGCGTCGGCGCGCAAGAGGAGGCTCCGAGGGCGAGGTCGCGCGGCCCACGGCGAGCAATGAGGGCGCGGGCGCCCCCGAGCCCGGGCCGGCGGCGCCCGGCAGCGGGCGCGCTGGGGCGGCGGCGCGCTGCTCACCTGGCAGCCGTGGAAGGGCGGGAGGCTCGGGGGCTCCCAGTCCTGGGGCGCGGGCGCTGCGGCGGGCCCGGGGAGGCCGGGGACGGACTGACTCAGCGCACGCACCTCCAGCGGGGACTCCACTATATAACGGGCACTTTGGCCAGTGACGCGGCGAACCCAACCCTCCCCGATGTGGGCCACGCTGCACTGCCAGAGAGAGGCCCAGAAATGGCAACGTTCGGCAAATCTCCCAAATACCCGTGAGTGAGTACCCGTTACCGTGCCGCTGACTGACCTGGGTCAATGCAAAGCCTGGTCAGTCGGGCTTTGCAGGATCCCTCTGCAGGATCCTGCAGGATCCTGCGCGCTAGCCTGGTCAGTGCGCCCGTGGCTCTGCAGGATCCTGCCAGATCTGGCGCTCTGACCAACCCCCCGTTTGCATAGACCCCCCGTCTCAAGGGCTCCCGAGGAGGGCGTGCGGATGCGGCCATGGCGACACGGCCTGCCTTTCTGAGGAACACACGGGAGACCTCGCGCGGCAACTTGAGACCCGATTTGCGGCGGAGGCCACGTCAGATATGCGTCGGGCTGGCGTCGAATTACGTCGGATGTTTGCGGGATGAACGGTGGATTCACGTCGTACTTACGCCGGAGCATCGCCGCGCGAACGTCGACCCATCTCTTGCGGAGGGGACGTGTGGGCTGGATGATATTGCGCGCCGCGCGAGGCTTCCAGGATGCTCCTCATAGCGCGCCCTTCGTGGGGAGAGGAGAGAGAGGGAGAGAGAGAGAGAAAGAGAGAGAGAAAGAGAGAGATAGAGAGGCAGAGAGAGAGAGAGGTACGCTCGCAGCACACTGGCGCATGACCACGCACGAGGCGGCGCAGGCGGGGCGCGCGCGAGCTTTGCGAGAGCGAGGGCGCATGCGGGATACAAAAAGAAGAGAGTGGCACGAGGCGAACACCTGGGTCCCGAGGGAAACAGCTCCTGCATCACACTGGGCCCCCTCCCCAGGACGCCGTCTCTCCATCACGACACGCTGCGTCGACTGCGCCCCTGCGGCCCCTGGAGGGCCCCCCAGGGAACCGACCACGGCCAATTAAACTCTGGACCCGCTCCCCTCATAAGGAGGCCCCCCTCCCTCGTGGCGGCGGAGACTTGCCCTCGCTCGAAGCGCTCCAGGCTGGCTCTCAGCATGTCTCTCGGGCACCGGCATCGGCCGAGACAACAAAGAATGGCGCACGCTCGCGAGCGATGCCGGGGAGAGAACAGAAGCTGCCGCGGCCCGCTCCTGCGGCGCGCCCCGCGGCCTCCCCGCCGACGACGGCCGCGGCCTCCCCGGCGGCGCGCCGGCCATCTCCCCCTCTCGGCGGCTCCGGGGTGGGGCCCTGAGCCTATAGGTGCCCCGAGGTCTGGCACTCGGCGGCGAGCGAGGGGCGGGAGGTGAGGAGGAGGCCGTCTCGGAGGGCGGCGCGGGAGCGCTCAGAAGCCCCTCGCGCCTGCCGAGAGGTTGCTGCGTCTTCGGGGAAGGCCCAGGTAGCTTCTCGCAGGGCCGGGGGAACTCGCGAGCCTGCCGAGAGGGCCCGCCCCTCCTCACTTCCCCCCGGGCTCGCCGCCGAAGCACGCCACACGTGGCGTGTGGACACGGAACTCAGCAGGGCGTTCGAAACCAGACGCTTGGCGCGATGCGTTCGCCAGAGCGCGGGCCAACACGTTGAGCCAACACGCAGCGCGTCAACTCGGACGCTTTGATCATGGCACGTGTTGCGTTTCAAAACAGGCGTGCCAGGGCAGGTCAAGTCCTTAGGGATGAGGCCCTTCGGGTAGGAGAAGGATCCCAAGCTGCATCTCCACTGCTCAAGGCCCATCCGTCCTCCCCGGAGCTCCGACGATGCGAAACACTATAACACTTCGCGAAGAATCGCGACCGGTCCCCCTAAGCGGAGACCCCATATTTCTGCAGCATCTTTCCAGCCAGGTCGACCTGGGGGCCTGAAACCATGCGAAAACTCTGCGCGGTGGACAAACCTCCCTTTAGTAAACCTTCCCTTAGTGAAAACGGCCTGGGACCGAACCCGACGGACCTGGACCCGCAAGAATGACGGCCGCGACGCCCTCTCGCGAACCGAAAACGGCCAATGCCTTAATCGACGCGTCAGGGTAGGAGGTCTGTCCACCCCCGAAACTCTAAAAACTGCGACGCCAAGATACTGCCATTGTAAGGGTCCGGCGGCAGCCCGGGTTTTGGAGCCCGCCTGCCCGCCCTCTCCCCCCGATAAATTGTCCTTGTCGGTAGCGCTGGTCCCCAAGATATAGCCCGAACTGGTGCGCGCGGGCACACGTGGGGCTGCCCGAATTGAAGAGGTTCAATTATCGGCCAGCACCTCCCCCCCAAAACAAATTGTCTGCATTACCGCATTCCTCAAAGCTGACGTTGCCACAAGATGCAGCAGCCTTTGAAAATCACGCCGGAACCCTAGACCCCATCTGTCGACGCGATGAGCTTTTTCACCACAAGCGGTCGTGCCCTGCTGCGGGCAAGCCAGAAAAGCTAAGCCCTTCCTCCGCCCTTGCGTGGGAGGGTTTTGTGCTAGAAAACGGCGTCGGGAACGGAGGTGGGTGGGTGTGGCAACAGTGATCTTCAACACCATCTTTCTACGCCGTTTCTCGAACCAGATCGATCGGCGCGGGCCCCGGGATCCCGAAGCCGTGTGCGCACGCCCGTGGCGACAAAAATGCAACGCCCCGATGAAGTTGGAATGCGGATGAAAGAGATTGGGTGCGGGCCCGCCCAAATAACGGCAACACGCAACAAACAACATATCGATTCTTCTTGAAGCAGGACGGCGTTTGAAGTAGATTTGGATCTGGCCGTCTAAAAATACGTACTTTCAACGACCAACGTGGGGCCCGTTCCCAGACCCCCGACCTTGTGATTTTTTCATGGCATCGACCCAGGGGTCTCGACCCGAGCCGTTCTTTGACAGCCCCGCAGCCCGTTAAGGGCTCAAGGAGGTCGGAACCAGCGAATGCCCTCACGTCCTGCTTCTTGCCGTCGCTCAAGCGTGCACTCACCGAGCATATTTCTCGAATTCGCGCGTTGCCTTCACGCGAGATGCTCCTCGAGGGTCCTTCGAGGAGGACAAAACGTGCACACGCCCGAGCGATGCCAAAGCTTATTCATGGCTTCGGGGGCTCTGGGCTCAACGACCTGGCCAAGGCCCCACCTGTCCCAGACGTCCGGCCGCCACAGTACTTTCGACGCGTGGGCCCCGGCAAGGTCCGGACCGCTTCCCCAGGGCCGGAATCGTGTCTTGACGCTCTCGGGGCCCGGCGAGGGCCCCTGGAGGCCTCGAACTGTCAAAACCCCGCCGCTCCGATAGTTCTCTTGGAGGAACGTCGGGTCTCGGGGGGGGGGGTCGCTGGGCTCCACAGCCGGCCCAGGGCCCCACCTCTGTGAGCCGCCGGGCCTCGCGGCCGCCGGGGGCGGGGGCGCTGCCGCGGCCCCGCCAAGCGCCCGGGCTGCGCGCGGGGGGGGCCCTCGGCGCGGCGCGCGGCGCGCGGAGGGGCGCCTGGCGCCTCGCGGCCGCTGCGGCCAGCGGACGCCCGCCCGGAGCTCCGACGGCACGACCTCTTCCCGGACCACAAAAA